ATAACAAAATACAAAGACCTACACATAGAAATAGAAAGACTGGCAAAAGCAAGCAAGGGTAGTACCAATAGTAATAGGCGCCTTGGGTGCAATCCCAAAAAAACTGGAGCACCACTTGAACACCATCATCGGCATTGACAAATTCGCTATTAGTCAATTGCAAAAGGCGGCCTTACTAGGAACTGCTTCCATCCTGCGACGATACCTGTAATACCATCAAACATCCACATCTGCCTATCCCAGGTCCTGGGTAAGGACTCGATAGGTAGACAAAATGCCAAATCCAGTCTGAACATCTGGCTGACTGTGCAATGATCCATAATAATAATAATAATAATAATAAATAATAATAATACCATAAAGGCAATCAACACCTGGGCAATCCCAGTCATTAGGTACACAGCTGGAATAGTGGACTGGACTCAAGCAGAACTAAAAGCAATGGATAGGCAGACCAGAAAAATAATGACAATGAATCATGCCCTTCATCCACGCAGTGACATTGATAGACTTTATCTACCAAGGCAAATAGGTGGGCGTGGAATGCTACAAGTACATCAGATGGTTGAAGAAGAAAAAATGGCTTTGGAAGAATATCTGAAGAACAATGATGAAGATGCACTGAAATTAGTATATCAGGAAGGCTTACTAACTACTGGAGAGACCAAACTGGCCTACAAGAAAGACCAAATGAAGAACAGAATAGAGGCATGGGAAGACAAAGCACTACATGGCCAATACATGAAAAAAATAGCTGGGAAAGCAGATAATAAGAAGACCTGGCAATGGCTAAGAGCAGGAAAATTGAAGAAAGAGACCGAGGGACTAATTCTGGCTGCACAAGACCAAGCCTTAAGGACAAATGCATACAAAGTCAAAATTGAGAAGACAGCAACAGACAGTAAGTGCCGCCTATGCAAAGAAGCTGAAGAAACAGTGGACCACTTGGTAAGCTGTTGCAAGAAGATTGCACAGACTGATTACAAGCAGCGGCATGACAAAGTAGCAACAATGGTGCATTGGAAGATCTGCAAAAAATATCATTTGCCTGTAAGCAAAAACTGGTGGGATCATAAAATAGAGAAAGTCATAGAAAATGATAAAATTAAACTGCTCTGGGACTTCAGAATTCAAACAGACAAGCACCTGCAACATAACACCCCAGACTTAACAATTGTCGATAAGAAAGACAAAAAAGTCTGGATAGTGGATGTGGCAGTGCCTGGAGACAGCAGAATAGAAGAGAAAGAACTGGAGAAGATAACAAAATACAAAGACCTACAAATAGAAATAGAAAGACTGTGGCAAAAGCAAGCAAGGGTAGTACCAATAGTCATAGGCTCCTTGGGTGCAATCCCAAAACAACTGGAGCACCACTTGAACACCATTGGCATTGACAAATTCGCTATTAGTCAATTGCAAAAGGCGGCCTTACTAGGAACTGCTTCCATCCTGCGACGATACCTGTAATACCATCAAACATCCACATCTGCCTATCCCAGGTCCTGGGTAAGGACTCGATAGGTAGACAAAATGCCAAATCCAGTCTGAACATCTGGCTGACTGTGCGATGATCCATAATAATAATAATAATAATAATAATATAATAATAATAATAATAATAATAAAATAATACCATAAAGGCAATCAACACCTGGGCAATCCCAGTCATTAGGTACACATCTGGAATAGTGGACTGGACTCAAGCAGAACTAAAAGCAATGGATAGGCAGACCAGAAAAATAATGACAATGAATCATGCCCTTCATCCACGCAGTGACATTGATAGACTTTATCTACCAAGGCAAATAGGTGGGCGTGGAATGCTACAAGTACAACGGATGGTTGAAGAAGAAAAAATGGCTGACTGTGTGATGATCGATAATAATAATAATAATAATAATAATAATAATAATAATAATAATAATAATAGCAAAAGGCAGCCTTACTAGGAACTGCTTTTATCCTGCGACGATATCTGTAACATCATCAAACATCCACATCTACCTATCCCAGGTCCTGGGTAAGGACTCGATAGGTAGACAAAATGCCAAATCCAGTCTGAACATCTGGCTGACTGTGTGATGATCCATAATAATAATAATAATATAATAGTAATAATAATAATAATAGTAATAATAATAATAATAATAATAATAATAATAATAATAGTAATAAAGTTGGAAGGGGCCTTGGAGGTCATTGTCCAACCCCCTGTTCAGGCAGGAAACCCTATACCATTTCGGAGAAATGGCTGTCCAGTCACTTCTTAAAAACTTCCACTGTTGGACCATCACAGCTTCTGGAGGCAGGTTGTTCCATTGGTTAATTGTCCTCACTGTCAGGAAGTTTCTCGTTAGTTCTAACATGATAGCTGATAGCTGATAATGACCGATAGAGAAGTAGATAGATAGAGTTAGATAGATAGATGAATTATAGATAGATAATAGCTAGATTGACAGACATGATAGACAAATGATAGATGATGATAGATAGGTAGGTAGACAGACATGATAGCTGATAGCTGATGATAGATAGGTAGACGGATAGACATGATAGCTGATAGCCGATAATGACAGATAGAGAAGTAGATAGAGTTAGATAGATGGATGATAGATAAGATAGATGGATGAGATAGATAGATAATAGCTAGACTGACAGACATGCTAGACAGATGATAAATGATGGTAGGCAGGTAGACAGACATGATAGCTGATAGCTAATGACAGAGAAGTAGATAGATAGATGGATGATAGATAGATAGATAGATAGATAGATAGATAGATAGATAGATAGATAGATAGATAGCAAATAGAGATAGACCAGTGTTTCTCAACCTTGACCATTTTAAGGCATGTGGACTTGAACTCCCAGAATTCCACAGCCAGCATTGCTGGCTGTGGAATTCTGGGAGTTGAAGTCCACATGCCTTAAAATGGTCAAGGTTAAGAAACACTGAGATAGACAGATAGACACAGACAGATATAGACAGGATAGATTTCTAGATATAGATAGGAAGGTAGGTAGGTAAATAGATAACCTTTATTGTCATGTTTTCCTGGGGGCACAAGAGCCACCGTTCAAAATGAAACGGAGGGGCTCGCTGTCAAAGTGTACACACACACACACAACGCACTTTTAAACATACTCCGTACAACATGGGCCTAAAGTCCCGGGGGCCTCCCCCCCTCCTCCTCCCCCCCCGCCTTTATCAGGAATGGCCAGGGGGAGGGGGGAGGGAGGGAGGGGGGGGAAACGGCTGGCAGAAACTCGACGCCCTCTCCGCGCAAGGCAGCCTCGCTCGCCCTTCTCTCTCTCTCCGCTTTTTTTTTTTTAATGGAAGAGCGACAGGGTGTCTAGACGCCCACGTGACCAGGGCGGGGAGCGCCGCCGCGGCTCAGCCAGCGCGAGAGCGAGGGAGCCGGCCGGGGGGGGGGGGAAGGAGGAGGAAGGGGGGAGGGAGGCGGGGGTCGGCTGGGGCCGTCCGGCCGTCCAGTGCACCCCCTCCCCCTTTGGAGTCCCCCTCCCCCTTTGGAGTCCCCCTCCCCCTTTGGAGTCCCCCCTCCCCCTTTGGATCCCCCCTCCCCCTTTGGAGTCCCCCTCCCCCTTTGGAGTCCCCCCTCCCCCTTTGGATCCCCCCTCCCCCTTTGGAGTCCCCCTCCCCCTTTGGAGTCCCCCTCCCCCTTTGGAGTCCCCCCTCCCTGCCCTTGGCAAAGCTGCCCCCCCCGTAATGATTCCTCCCCCCACCCGCTCCTTGCAAGACAGACGGGGGGGGGGCTGCTTAAGAAGCGCAAAGCATCGCCCGCTCAATCGGGGGGGGGCTGCAAAGCCCCTTTGTGGGGAGGGGGGAGCCAAGGCAGAGAGTCGGAGCGGGGGGGGGCTGAGAAGGAGGCGGGGGGAGGAGAGAGGTGGATTCCTCCTCCCCCTCCCCCCTCTCCCCTCCCCCCCGACGCTGCTTCCTCTTCCATTCCGCCGGGCGGGAGCGCCTCCCCCTCCCCTCCTCCCCCCCCCGCCAGGCCCTGCACGGACGGGGGGGGGGGAGGCGGCGGCGCCGCAGCGGGGCTGCTCAGACTGCAGAGGAGCCGCGAGGCCGTCGCTGCTCGGGGCTGCCGCGCTGTCCTGCCCGGCCCGGCCGGGGCCCCCTGGACGCCGCCGCCGCCGCCGCGCCTCGCCCTCGCCTGCTGCTGCTGCTGGGGCCGCCTGCGAGGAGGCGCCGCGGGGGAGGCGTCGAAGGGCGGGGAGAGGGCGGAGGAGGAGGCGGAGAGCGCGCCGCCGCCGCCGCTGCCAGCCTCCCCGCTCGGCTCTCCTCTCCACCCCGTCTGCGGGCGAGGAAGCCAACGAGCGAGCGCGGCTCCTCCGTCCGGCGGCCGCCAGCAAGATCAAAGCGCCCGCGCCACCCGAGGGAGCCGGCCGCGCCGAGGCCCGACAGCAGCAGCAGCAGCAGCAGCAGGAGGAGGAGGAGGAGGCAGCATCGCGCCCACCCGCCTCCCTCCCCGCAGAGACCCCGACGGCGGGCCGGCAGCTCCGGAGACGCCTGCAGCCCCGCCGGGCATCCCGGACGGCGAGAGCCTCCGAGGGGGCTGCAGAGCCCCTGTTGCCGCTCCGGCTTCTTCTTCTTCGGGGGCGCTGAGGCGCGTGGACGGCGCCCGAAGACTTCCTCGCCGCGACCGCATCTCCGGGGTCTTTTCTCCCCCGCCCCGTCCGGGCTTTGGAGGGGCTCCACCGGCGCGGATCTAAGGGCGCCTCGCCCGGGCTCGGCGGGAGAAGCGGCGGCAGAGCAGCAGGAGGAGGAGGAGAAGCCGCCTTGGCATGCCCGCGTCTCCCGGCCGGGCGGACCCCGCGCTTCCCCGCCGCCTTTCGGGCTCCCCCTCGGCGTAGACGGCCGCCCGGACGGCCCCCGGCGCGGCCCCGCGGAGGGCGAGGACGGGGGCGCGAAGCGGCGCGCGGTGCGCCTCGCTCGGCCTCCCGCTGCAGCCGGCGCCCCCCGGCTCCCCGCCGGCGCCCCGCCTGGCCCCGCTGCCGCCTGCCGCCGCCCCCTTCCCCTGGCCGCCCGCCGGGCTCGGCTCCCGGCTCCTTCATGAATTGCGGACGACCTGCCCGCTCTGCAGCCGGGCCGCCGCCGCCTCCTCGTCCCGCATGTTCCGGACCAAACGCGCGGCGCTGGTGCGGAGGCTGTGGCGGAGCCGGGCGGCCGGCGGCGGCGGAGACCTGGCCGAAGGCGCCGCGCCCGGCGGAGACCTCGCGGAAGGCGCCGCGGACGGACGGCCCGATGGGGCCGGCGGCGGCGGCGGCGGCGGGAGCCGGATCTGCTGCCTGGGCAAGGCGGGCAAGGCGCCCGGCGGCGTCGGCGGCGGCGGCTCGGAGGCCGAGCTGAAGGCGCTGGCCCACTCGGTGCTGAAGCGGCTGAAGGAGAAGCAGCTGGAGGCGCTGCTCCACGCCGTCGAGTCCCGCGGAGGCGCCCGGACCTCCTGCCTCCTCCTGCCCGCCAAGGCGGACGTCAAACTGGGCCACCAGTGGTACTCGCTCCCGCTGCTCCTGGGCAAACTCTTCCGATGGCCGGACCTGCGCCCGGGCTCGGAGGTCAAGCGGCTTTGCGGCTGTGAATCTCACGGGAAAACCCACCTGGACTTAGCCTGCTGCAACCCCTTCCACCTGAGCAGACTCTGCGAGCTCGGTAGGTGCGGGGCGCGGAGACCCCCGACCCCCTTTTTCTGCCCCAACCCTCGCCCCCTCCCCAGAAGGAGCCGGGACCCCAAGCTTGCCAAGCCTTCAGCCTCGACGGGGGTGGGGGGGTCGCTGCCTTGATTGGAAACTTCCTCCGGGTCCTGTGGGTGGGATGGGAGGGGGTCTAACATTAGGGCAGAGACCCCCACCCAGCCTTTGGGGCACCCCCAGAGACCACCGGTCCCGTGCAGAGAGGTTTTCCCGTGGACTGGGGGGTTGCATAGTTTTGTGTGCTGCCTGCATCCCTCAGATAGGGCTTTCCGTGTTTGCGGACCGGTACTGGTCTGCGGGCCGGGGGTTGGGGACCCCTCTGCCTTACGGAATTCAGGGGCATCCTAGCCTTGACTCTTGCCCCTGCATCATTTTAAGGAGGGGGGGGGGGAAAGGCGAGTTTAGGTGAAGAAGACCCAGTCTGGGATGTGAGTATTGTCCCAGCCGGATCTTCTGTGTGTATTTGTGTGTGTGTGTGTGTGTGTGTGTGTGTGTATCCCACCAAGCTCTCTCGCAGGTGGGGGAATAGAAAAGTTGAAACATATCCCCCAAAGAGGTTTTCAATTTAGATTTTTTTATATACATATATTCCAAGCGGAATTTTGCAAAGGCAGAACTGGACACTCTTAAAAAATTGGCTTCCATTTGGATGCTTTTTTGTCTGTGCATTAAAAAAAATGGGGGGGGCGAAAGGTCCAGTTGACTGTTGGAAAAGCACCTTTGGGACCCAACCTGGAGGATTTGAGACTGTCTAGGTAGACACACGTGCATTTTAAAGTTCCTGGTTAGGGAGGAGGTGAGGAATGGAGGAAGGCTGCAACTTTAGGGGTTATAGGCTTCTGTTTGTTTTTTTTTTTTCAGCAAAGAAAGGTTTCCGAATCGGACAGTAAATTATTTTGAAAAGGGTGATGCAACCCGGAGCCAGCCAAGGCAGCCTTGCAGTGTTTTGTGCAAAAAAAAAAAAAAAAAAAAAAGCCAGGATGTGAAAATAAAAATAAAAGCTGAACGCTTTTGGGGAGAAAAAAATCCATCCTAGGATTTTCTAGTTTAATCTATAAATCTGAGGCCATTTTAGCAAAAAAGAAAAAAGAAAGAAAGAAAGAGAGAGAAAGAAAGAAAGAAAAAGAAAAAAGCAGTTCCAACCCTTGGCTGGCTCCTGCATTCTCCGTGCCCTCCCGCCCACCTTTGGGCCTCTTTGCCTCAAAAACTATAAAAGCGAACACATAATTTCCAGGCCTGCAATCTTGTTTGCTTTTCTCCGCTTGCCAAGTTGCCTTAAGTTTCCACACTGGCTAAAAAGGAGGGGGAAAGAGAGAAAGAGTTATAGAGAGAGAGAAAGAGAGAGAGAGAGAAAGAGAGGGATAAAGATATATAGAAAGGAGAGAGAGAGATAAAGATATATAGAAAAGAGAGAGAGAAAGATAAAGATATATAGAAAGGAGAGAGAGAAAGATATAAAGAGAGATAAAGATATATATATAGAGAGAGGAGAGAGATAAAGAGTGAGAGAAAGAGATAAAGAAAGATATATATAGAGAGAGAGAAGGGGAGAGAGAGAGAAAGAGAGAAAGATAATATATAGAGAGAAGAGAGAGAAAGAGAGAGAGGAGGGGAGAGAGAAAGGAGAAGGACAATCTCCCCCCCCCAGCATGATTGAAATTGGAAAGGGTCTTATCCCCCCCCCTTTTTTTTTAAATGGGGATTATGTTCATGATTTGGAAGGGAAAGAGACTGGCCTGGGTAGGTTGAAAACCCATGGGTGGGCAGCCTTGCCTCTCCCCCCCAAACCCCCCCCACCCCCCAACCCCAACAGCCCCCAAAGCCTTTAGCCCACCTCCTCATCCTTCCCCCCCTTTTGCAAACTTTTTTTTGGGGGGGGTGCTGGGTGTTCCTATGTGCAGGCAGGCAGAGAGAACAATGCATGTGTCTATTGGGTGCCTCCCCCCCCTCTTTCCCCCCTTCTCCCTCCCCTCCCCAGGTCTTGGGTTCAGTGGCCTTTTTGCAAGGAAGCCGCTTGGGCTAATCGGGAGGGCTGGATCCGTGGGTGATGTCCAGGGCTGGGGCTCGGGAGCCCAGGCCTGGCCCAGACAGCTCCGGGAGCAGAGATAGCGCAAGAGGCTGGCGCCAGTCAGAGCCCCTTTGTTTATCTGGCAGTGAAATATCCAGGCAGTTGCTGCCAGGCTGCCCCCCCCCCTCCCTCCCTCCCAGCGCCAGGCTAAGACAAACACTTTGGCTCCAAGAATGCCTCCCTTATCGTAAGTTCCTATCTCTTCTCCCCCCCCCTTCCCTTCCCTTCCCTTCCCATGGCTGCGATTTTATTTTCTCTGTCCTTTGATTCCAGAGTCTCCACCTCCCCCTTACTCCAGATACCCCATGGATTTTCTCAAACCCACCGGTAAGTAGACTGGATTTGTTTAAACTAAGTAAAATTAGCGTTGGGTGGGAAGTTTGCTTTCTTTCTCTTTTCTTTTCTTTTCTTTTCTTTTCTTTTCTCTTTTTCTTTCTTTCTTTCTTGCTTGCTTGCTTTTTCTTTCTTTCTTTCTTTCTTTCTTTCTTTCTTGTTTTCTTGCTTTCTTCCTTCCTTGCTTTCTCTGTGTCTCTTTCTTTCATTTTCTTGCTTCCTTGCTTTCTCTCTCTCTTTTTCTTTCTTTCTTTCTTTCTTTCTTTCTTTCTTTCTTTCTTTCTTTCTTTCTTTCTTGTTTTCTTGCTTTCTTCCTTCCTTGCTTTCTCTGTGTCTCTTTCTTTCATTTTCTTGCTTCCTTGCTTTCTCTCTCTCTTTTTCTTTCTTTCTTTCCTTCCTTCCTTCCTTCCTTCCTTCCTTCCTTCTTTCTTTCTTTCTTTCTTTCTTGTTTTCTTGCTTTCTTCCTTCCTTGCTTCCTTGCTTTCTCTCTCTCTTTCTTTCATTTTCTTGCTTTCTTGCTTCCTTGCTTTCTCTCTCTCTTTTTCTTTCTTTCTTTCTTTCTTTCTTTCTTTCTTTCTTTCTTTCTTTCTTTCTTTCTTCTTGCTTCCTTGCTTTCTCTCTCTGTCTCTCTCTTTCTTGCTTGCTTGCTTTCTTTCCTTCTTGCTTTCTTGCTTTCTCTCTCTCTCTTTTTCTCTCTTTCCTCCCTTCTGGTAGTAGCAAAGGAAAGTTTAATATTCAAAGTTTAATATTGAAAGAAAAATTTAAAATTGAGTTTGCTGCAGTGGAAACTTACTGAGTGGAGGGGACTTCCACTTACTTCCTTCTTCCTCTTTTTTTTCCTTTCTTTCTTTCTTTCTTTCTTTCTTTCTTTCTTTCTTTCTTTCTTTCTTTCTTTCTCTCTCCCTTCCTCCCTCCCTCCCTCTCCCTCCCTCCTCTGTCATTGTCCTCCCTTCTTCCAAACTCTTTTTACAACCCTATTGCTGCTGTTATTTTGCTCTTTTTTAGCTCTTAATTTGCTGTGGGGCTTGTTTGGTTAATGGGAAGGATTTCCCATTAAGATAAGTGAGTTTGACTCCTGAATAAAAGGGCTGGCCTTTCACAGGGCTGTTCTTGTAGATCCCTGTTTAGGGCAATAAATCCATGGCTTCAAAGGGCTGACGGACGCCTGGGTCTGTAAGTATAGGATTGCAGTCAAAATCTATAAAGACTTAAGAGGCGCATTAAGTTGTTTTTTATAGGTGTGTCTTTGGTGCTGCCAGCTGGTATTAATTTTTTTTAGGTAATCCGGTCCTCTTGAGATGCAATAGGGTATCTGCACTTTTATAGGGCCTGTTACAGTTGGAAGGGACCTTAAAAGATCATCTAGCTCAGCCTTCTGCACCATGCAGGGGAATTATTTAAATCATATATGAGAGGATTTGTGTTGGTTTACTTAGAAGTAAATAAGCTCAGTCTGTTCTCCTGCCAAGTTAAGTGACTACTGTAGGATTGCAGCTGGCATCTTCAGACTGTCTTCCTTTTGGCAAACCATCCCCCCCCCCCCCAAAAAAAAAGAAAATTCATAATCTGTTAAGATGCAAAATGAAAGTTCATAGCTTTCTGTCAACTTTTATTTTTTTTTATAATATCTGGAACATTTGGAATCTTTAATTTTTTTTTCCAAAAAAAAAAAAAAGCTAATTTCATGCCAGGTGCATTTCCTGAAAGCTCTTGTTTTGCATGTCATTGGGCCCAAATAAAGCATTTTTTAAAAAAATGCAAAGAGATGTTTTTAGCAGGCGGGCTCGTTGCTTGTAATGGAGTGGCAGGCTGCCACGGTAGAAGCCCGTCTGAGGCTGGCACCAAGTGCTCTTGCGGTCGTCTGCGTAAACTTGGCTGGCAGAGGGTTCACCCTCTGCTAGATAAATAGGCTGGCATTGTGGAAAAAAGAGGGGGAGAGAGAGAGAGAGGGAGAGAAAAAAACACCAGAAATGTGGATGCAGTCAAAAGGGAGGAGAAATGAAATTTCACAAAGCCACTTCTGACAATTAATGGAGCAAAAATAGAGATTATACAGATGTTTGCCTGTACTGATTACACCCTAATGTTAGGCAAGGCGGTATGTTGGCTTAGAAAGATCCTCTTTACAGACTCATGCTTGTCACCTACCTTTCCCGGCCTTACTCATCCCAAAAAAAGACAATAGTTGCTTTGTTCCCCGGGATCTGTTATGCTTGCCCTTGAAAGACACTGGGTGCTCTTGACAAGACGATCCGTTGATACTGTTTTGCATTGTGAGTTCTTTGGCGTAAGGGACCTGCTAGGGAAGGATGTGAGAACTGGGGAAGCCTCCACCGAGTTTATCCAGTAGGAAAGTTGGAAGATTACAGTTAGATGAAGCAGCTTGAAAAGGTTGTGCTGGTCTATCCTTCTGAGAAACAAGAAATGAGCTAAATTTTCTTGACCAGGGGTCTTCAAACTTGGCCCTTTGATGATTTGTGGACTTCAACTCCCAGAATTCCTCAGCCAGCCACAAATCATCAAAGGGCCAAGTTTGAAGACCCCTGTTCTTGACAGTTGGGATTAGGAAAAATGCTACCTTTATTCAATACAGCTAATCCTTGCCGTCACTGCATGCAAGCATCTGAATTTTGATCTTGCAACTTGGGGGTGGGTGGGACTGCTGCAAGAGTCATAAGGGTGTGAAAAAGGTCCATAAGTTGCTTTTTAATGAATTGTTTGTTGTAAGTTGAGGACTTCCTGTATTGGGTGATAATTTTGGGAGCTGGAGGAGCCGCCATCTTGAATGCGGAACGAGTTTATTTCCCGCCCTTTTATTTCCTTTAATGGAGGTGAATGGGTAGCGCTTATTCTGTGGGTGAGTTGCAGAAAGTCTTCTGAGTTTTGCAGAATGGAGTCCCACAAAGTCTTTCTACTGGATGCATCCTTCATGACCTTGATCTCATGGCCTGGTGGTGACATTTCCATATTGCAAAGAGCCCTCAATTTTAAGAGATCTGGATTAGATTTACCATTTTATCCGTGGTTTCCTTCTCTCCCCCTCCCCTTGTGAAATGAGAATGCTGTCAACAAATAACCTTATTCAATGCAAGCAATTACAGTTTTTGGTCTTCTGTTGAAGGTGGGCTAGCATCTGCCCAAAGGATTAGAGAGTGGTGAAAAGGTAAAAAGATGCTGAGAGTGCAGAGAAGAGCAACAAAGATGATGAGGGGACTGGAGGCTAAAACATATAAAGAATGGTTGTAGGAATTGGGTATGTCTAGTTCAGTGGTTCTCAACCTGTGGGTTAGGACCCCATTTGGGATCCAACGACCATTTCATGGGGGTCGCCAAAGCAGAGCGCCATTTTCCCCCCCTTTTCCTTAGCTGTGCTACTCCCTTTTATTCTATTGGCTTTTGAAAGCCAATAGAATAGACTCTCTTGAATAGAGTCTAATTCTATTGGCTTTCCAAAGCCAATAGGAATTGTCCAGGCTGTCTCTGCCCTGCTGAGCCCGCCAAAAGTCCCATTCTGCAAACGGTGCTGTACCAGTTGAGTAGTCCTCGACTTACGACCGGTTAAGTAGTCCTCGACATGACCGGTTGGGGGTCGCGGCATTAAAAAGATTGAGAACCACTGGTCTAGTTTAATGAAGAGAAAGACCAGGAGTGACTGGATAGCAGTCTTCCAGTATCTCAGGGACTGCCCCAAAGAAGAGGGAGTCAAGCTATTCTCCAAAGCACCTGAAGACAGGACAAGAAGCAATGGATGGAAACTCATCAAAGAGAGAAGCAACCTGGAACGAAGGAGAAACTTCCTGATATTTAGAACAATTAATCAGTGGAACAGAAGTTGCCACCAGAAGCGGTGAATGGTCCAACACTGGAAATTTTTAAGAAGAGACTGGACAGCCATTTGTCCGAAATGGTATGGAGTTTCCTGCCTGAGCAGGGGGCTGGACTAGACGACCCCCAAGGTCCCTTCCAACTTTTTATTATTATTATTATTATTATTATTACATCATCTTTGATAAGAAAGGTAGAGTTCACCTGACAAGAGAACAGGCTGGCTCAGATGGAATTGGACCTGCCTTCCTAGACCCACATTTTAGCTGTTATATTGGTTTACAGATGAAGATTTATCCATTCAGTTGGTGTCTGACCGTTGGCGATTCTATGGGCCAGATCTCCCCACAAATCCCCCTCTTACACTAACTACTTCTTTGAGTTTTTCTTCCTTTTGTATTAGTTTTACTACTACTTTGACTTTTTCTGTGCTATGGCTGGTGTCAGCTTTGATGGTGTCCAGCCTGGTTACCGCAAACTCTTCCAAAGAAATGTCTTTCTCCATGATAATTCCCTCCCGTGATGATGGCCTAACATATAAGTGTGATGCAGTTTCATGATTTTTTTTTTTTTTTGCCTTCTAAGTGACCTGTCTGGTGATGGGCTCTCCAGTCCTTGTTTCTTAATCACCTTTGCTGTCCGAGGCTTACAAGTAAAAGTGGTTAAACTTTGGAGGTTTTAAGGAAATTCTTTTTTTTTTCTTTTTAGCAACAGCTGTCTCTGGGGAAAAATGGCAGAATAGAATAGAATAGAGAAGGAATAGAGAAGGAATGGAATGGAAGAAAGAATGGAATGGAATAGGAGAAAGAATAGAATACAGAAAGAATAGAGAAGGAATAGAATAGAAAACAAATGGAATGGAATAGAATAGAATAATAGAATAGAATAGAATAGAAAATATGGAATAGAATAGAGAAGGAATAGAGATGGAATGGAATGGAAGAAATAATGGAATGGAATAGAATAGAATAGAATAAGAGAAGGAATAGAATTGAGAAAGAATGGAATAGAATAGAATAATAGAATAGAATAGAAAATATGGAATAGAATAGAATAATAGAATAGAAAATATGGAATAGAATAGAATAGAGAAGGAATGGAATGGAAGAAAGAATGGAATAGAATGGAATAGAATAGAACAGGAGAAAGAATAGAATAAAGAATAGAGA